GCAATCTTCAGCACAGTTGCAAAGGCTTCCAGGGTTGATCCCATCCTTTTCCTACCTCCATCAAAGGTGGCTTCACCATCTGCCTCACAAGACCTCAGCCTTGCACTACTGACAAATGGCAGCATCTCCCTCCTTACGGAGTTTAAAGAGAAGGGGAAGCTCATAAATAGAAAACATCAAGACTGTGACATTGTATTCATGAACACAATGGATTTAAAAAATCAGCAAGTTTATATTACCATGGATAATACTACACTACAGTTAAAAGCATTCCCTGTAAATGTGATTCTTAATGAGACACACATTTCTACTGCATTTTCAAAAAAAAAAGCACACTTTACAGTTTATCTGAACAATATATTTTCTTCCAGCTGACAGCATGAGTAATTTCATTGTGCTCAATAAAAATCACTGTTTGAAAAGCTTGTCAGTCTTCTTGCCATAGAGTAAGATCTACACATTCTCCATGCAAAATTTAACTTTCAAGAAACAAAGATTTTTTTTCTGGTATTGGGAAGAAGTGTTTTTATAGGGCTTCTAGTGCCAAAGAAAATTTATGAACTCTTGGAGAAAGGTGAGAGGATATGGGCTATTTCTGAGGTGATAAAGATTTTATTGCCTATTCTTTCAAATTAGATGCTGTTAACTTTTACCCCATGACACAGAAGTTGACAAGACAGAAGAAAATTCTATGTTTTGCTGTGTATAGTGTGTATTTTCTGCCTCTTGAAACCACCAAAGATATGAAACCCAAACATGCCCATGTCAAAAGAAACTGTGTAAGTATTCTCTGCTTTCTGGCTACCGGCCAGGCTATGGAAGTGAGCTACAGCCAGCAAAAATGAACAGGACTGACCAATTATTTTTTCTTCAGTTGTGCTCCTGAGACTGAGGAGAGATTTTACATGTGAAGTTATGCTATAACTATTTCAGGTCTTTCAAAAAGTTAAGTGAATACTTCCAAATTTTGAAGTAAATATAATCCAAGGCTCTGTGATTGGACCCTATCTGCTCTGATGCTGGGGAAAAAAGATGAAATTTTGAGCAAATTTTACTGTATTAGCAAAGAAATCTAGTAAACACAGTAATATATATATTTTTTTAATTTATTCTACCCATTTATTGATCCGTCTATCTATTGCACAATCCATCTTCCCTCCCTCCTTTTGATCTCTTGTCAAAGGCAGCTCTGGCTGTCGAGGCAAAAAGAGTTTGTCATTTTGGCAAAGACAGGGATCAAAAAAGAGAGTCCTTTTGCAATTCTGGACTTGGTATGAACATTCTGAAAATACTTAATTTCAAGGAGAGAGTGGAAAAAGAGAAAAACAAGAAGCCTGTAGCTCTAAAGTATTCTACAAGATAAACCCAGATTGATTCCAATGAAAACTTCAGCACCACAAAGAGCCTTCACATTTTGTTGCGCATTGTTACGAAACACACAAGTCAAAATATTTGGTGTACGGATTAGCTGAATGCAACATTTTTATTAAGGCAATGAAGAAAATTATCTTCCTAGTGTCCTCTGAAACTAAAATTTCCTGTCATGCAGCATTACCAACTCACAAAATCTGAGAAAAATTGGCGTGCATTTCAAAATGTGACACCTTCAAAAAGAAAAAGCCAGCACAGAACAAATACACAGGAGCTGGCAAGTAAAATACATTAAAAATCTTGATAACCAACTGTTAGTGATAATGTCTGAACCAGACAATTGCATTTCACTCTTCTAATTTTTTTATATTTCACCTTTCTTCACAGTTTCCTTCTGCCAGCTTATGTAAAACATATCATTAGCATCACCGACAAAAGCATTCAAGTCATATTGCATTAAGCAGTTATCTGTGTCATCACATATACAGACTGACATCTGCACTCACATTTCTGTGCTCTCTGATGTAAAAGTCCCACTAACTATCTGATCAATAGAGCCACAGTTTTACTGATCTTCTGCTTCAGAACAATAACAACAACGTATTTTTGAAGGTAAAAATGCTACAGGCTTTGCCTTCTAGCTAGGAGGAGGACACTGAGCAAGTGCTCCTTAATAAATGTTGTTACAGGTTGTCTCAGATGAGAAATTTTACCACAGACACAGAAGTAACAAAGAAGCTTGAATATGGCTTGCATGGTTAAAGGAAACAGAGATGAGAAGAAGTTTCCAGATCTCCTGATTTGTATTAACATCAACCTATACCGAAGGCTCCCGATAATAAGTTTGCTTGGATGGGAGCTGTAGTGATCTGGTGCCCACCCAAAGCACCTGTAACGAGGGTGGAGGGTCCCATCTTTGGGAAGAAGGGGTTTAACCCAGAACTCCCATAGATGTATTGAAATGCACATGTGATTTTATGGGTTTAGTAACATCCAGCAGTTTGCTTCCTACAGCAAGAGGTATATGCTTTTAGTTTGGTTTAGATTATGGTGTTGGTGGGACAGCAATCACCAATTTCCTACTCTGCTTTCTAATCTATGTAATCCACTAAAGCAACACTAGATGCAAATTGCCTTCCTTCAGTTACTTTCTGCTTCAAAGCAGCTCTACAAATCCAGTTTTTGAATTGTGTCTACCCAGAACTGCTTATTGCAGTGGACTCTGGTGCAGAGATTCACTGACCAGGAAGTGGATCACCTTTCTGTACACAGTCCTTCACCGTGTTTTTCTCATCTCAATATATTCAACTGATAAGAGATAAGTTCTGGAAAAGCTTTACTTTCTTCATATGAAAAGAGAAAAGACTGCCATAAGACTATCTTGGGTAGAGCAGCAGGTCAGCAGTCAAAACTATAAATTGTATAGATTTAATCTGCAAGTGTTAGTTCCCACAAAACGTCAGTTATGGTCCCAAGTGTCTTGCTGTTTTCTGGGATCACTACACAGCTGGACAGAATAACATCTCTTCTTCCCAACACTTCATGATGCAACAGCAGAGGGTGTTGCAGATCAGGTCTCAGGTGCCCTGAGAACGATGTAAGATTTCTTATACAGCACTTGGATTTTTTTTTTTTCTTTTTCTTCTTTCTGGCTGATCCTGTTAAGTTTTTTGGTAAGCATTAGCACCAGCTCAGAAATAACCTGAACTCCCAAAACATACGCGTGTATGAAAAGAGGAAGAGAGAGTTAACACAAGGAAACTGTTTCCTTTCTGTTCTTCCTTGTCAATAAGTGAATGGGAAAAATAAAACAAAAAATTAATTCACATGAGGAATACTGAAGGAAAGAGGTGAATCTTCAGACATGACAAAAGAGCAGTCTTAAACATGAAATCCCAGAGGAAATCACTGTCCTGAAACAGGGGATCAAATTTCCCCCAGATACTGGAATATACACAGAGAAGAGAAAGATTATTCAGCACTTAACTATTCTGGGAGATTGCTGATTTCACACCTGACTATTTTTAGGGCACTCTGATGAAAATCGAGACCCTGCATGCTGTTTGTCAGCTTCTCCCTACGTAAGAGAAGTAAGAACCTATGGTGCATAGAACAGCTGAGGAAGTCCTATAGACTTCCGAAGAAAAGTCCGCTCATTGCAAAGAGAGCATCCTTCTATTGATCCCCTGCCTCCCTCTCATCTAACATCCCCATGGGAAAACCATGGAGACTGAATTGTGCAAACCTTTAGGAAGACTTCCATATACTACAAACTTAGATCTTTTTATTTTTTAATGTACAAAGAAAATAAAAATAACTGATTCAAAACTGGGCACTACTCTCATGTCAATACCATACCATGCTCTCCTTATGTCTGTTATTAAGATAGCTCTATGGCTGGATATAGCACCACAACAAAGTAACACTCACACCTTCTAAATAGCTGCCTTAACTGCCTTATTGCAAGCAGTAATGACCCACTGAAATCATGTTCAGAGGAGGAATGACACGCTGTCCCTGTAATAACCGTATCATTGCCAAATACAAAATTTTCAAAGATGCATCCTGGAAGCAGGGATTGGTGGACAGTCACCCCTAAGTCCTGGTTATGGACAGAAGCCCATCATTTCTCCAAAGTGACTGGTTACTGTGATAGCTGCTCTCAGTCAAAAGCAAGCCATCAACTGCATGTATTACAAACAAAAATCAATCTTTGATCCATGTGTTTTTAATATACAACTTGGTACAAACCACACATTTCAGTGGCTGTAGGCGTTTCATGCTGACATGAATGAGACACCAAGCAAGAAGGGAAGTTTTACCCCTCCTTGGTTCATACAGTGTTGATGGCCCAGCCAAACATAAGCAGGAAATCAGTTCTGCTGGAATGACATGCACAGCCCCACAGAAGCATCGTATTTCTTGGTTTAGGCGTAGGACACAAGACTGTCTTCTAAAGAAGTTAGCAATAAATAAGTGTTGGGAGGGATGGACTGACGCAGAGAAGAGATAACCCTTTCAGATTGACTGTGGAGTGCACATTAAGGGGTAGGTTAAGTGCTCTCTGTTTTCATTTCTCTACTCAAGGCTCGTAAGTCTCCCTCCTCAGCATGCTACTTAAACTGCTGTAAATAAGTGGTCTTATTTGCACTTTACCTAAATTCAGTTTAACTGAAGGTTCACTTCATTTCAACTCTTGGTCAAGGTTGAGGGAAAATAAATATCCTGGTACTGGAGAATCTCCAGACCATCCAGCTCCCCAAACCATTTCTTGAAGGTTTACTTAGGTTGATATTGCTGACATCACGTTAAGAATATTTTGACAGTATTATTTGAGAGCTGAGTATGACAGAATTAAAAAAGAAAAAGCCACTGCAGTGGTAAACGGGAAGCTTTCTGGCATGTGGCAAGATCAGTGGAGCACCAAGTGCTTGCCCAGGAATGAAACCCACACAGTAACATTAAGAATAAAAGCTGAGTATGTATGCTTCCCCATCAATCAAATCTGCTCCCTAACAGGGAGATAAATCTCTTCATTGACTAAACGAGACATAAACACGTACCTTTCAGCAGCCACGCACATTTTGCGGAAATTTCTGCAAGAATGGCTTTTTAATGGAAAAAGTTACCTGGGTTTTTGTAGATGCTAAGCACATCCTTGAAATAATGAGGTAAGAATCTTTCTAATAAAAGCAGCACATCCTCCAACTCCTCCAGAATGCCCACAAGCAGAAAATTTTCATTAACGTTCAGCTTTGCTCGTTCAAGAGCCCATTCACCAGGCTCCCTGTATGAAAGTAACGGAGAGAGAGAGAGGGAGGAGAGAAAAAAATCCAGAAGTTTAAATACGTATTTACTTCAGAAATTCAAGCCAAGAACACAACTGAATCAAAAAATATTTAGTTCTGTACTTCTAACAGGACATTAAAAAACCCCCCCAGCAAACCTGAGTGGCTTACTGAGCTTTTCTGCACAACATCTAGAATTGGTTTGGCATGTAAAAACACGATCACATTAAAAGGAGGTTAATCACTGCGTGGAAGTACTCCGGTCTGAAGACATCTTCCGCCAAGTTGTTTATAAGTTCAAACTTGTGAACTCCTGTATTTTGACTTGGAAACACGACCCGTCTCACAGGAGGAATGACTTCCTTGGGTGATGAAGGGTGCTAAGGGGGGGCGGTGTCTCTGAACCACATCAGAACTGCTGTGAGCAACCACTGCCTGCTGTCACCCAGTGAATACCACACAGGAGGCTACTGGACTGTTTCCCACCTTGTCCTTCATTTTATCTTCTGCCAAAGTCTCCATGAGCTTTCCTTGCCCTGCCATTATCTGCGGCTCCGCTACAGGATTCACATTTGTTTGCTCTGACTGATACTGGTTTTGAAGATCAGTTTAGGGTTATTCAATCTTTTCCCCCAGTGGGACAAGCTGGCAGAACACCAGTACATCTTTATGCTTCTCTCATAGCTTCTTGGAAGCAGAGTTTGGTTAGACAAGCATGTGAATCCTAAATCCCTTAGACTAACTCATATCAATTATGTCCTGGGAGCAGCAGACAGCATTCATATTGATAGGGGATATAATGCCAGTGTCCCAAACTAAAGGAAATCAGCTATTTCACAGGGTCCAGCTGGTGTGATGAACATCTGAGTCACATATGCTACCTGTGAGTGGCTGACTTGTCTTCCCTGACTCTATTAGGCTATCGCAAAATCTATATAATACTGAATTTACCAACATTTGTCAGAAGCTCTTTTGATGACATGTGGAAAAGCTTATTGCTTTACGCTCCTACTAGAGCAGACTTGGAGCAGTGTTTTAATTCCCTACCACTTTCTGTGCACTGATCCATTGTCTGGAAGAGCAGAGTATCCTAACAAATATTATGAGCCTCCTTCTTGCAGCTCCTTCTGAGACTAAGCAGCAGCTGGAGGAAGTGCAAGGGCATGATAAGAGACAAAGATCTGTAACAAGCAATTTACTGCTTGTGAACCTCACAGAGATAGGTTGTGAAACCATTCAGGTATGTGACTGTTGTTAATGGGATTACTCATGCACACAAGTTAAATGTGCAACCATAAGCATTTGCAAATGAGGCCAAAATACATTAACAAAAAATGTGTAATGAAAATGAAGTCATGAATCTGTTTTGTTTCTTAATCACAACTTCACTTATGCCAAAAAACTGAAGCAGGATTTTACAGCAAAGATACTTAGAAACTGAGACCCAAGAAGGAACACATTTTCACTTGTTATTACTGCGACAACAAAGTATGGCTTTTGAAAGAAATTTTTGAAAACATGTACAGTTCTTCCACTATGGAGAAGCAGTAACAATAAATAAATAAATAGAATACTTTGAAGTTGAACAAACCTAATAAAGAACATGCTGTGACCAACAATATAAAAGTATTTGAAAACAAGAAGGTATTTAAAATTATTCACATATTATTGCATAAAAGTTTACTATGCAGTATGATTAATACAGCAATATGAGAATGGCATAAAGAGATATTAAAAATGAGCTAGCTCAATTACAGCAGTAGAAAGCTGCACTTTACAGAGTCTTAAGTATGATTACTATTTCTTACATGGACATAGAAACCTGGAATTCCTCATATATAGATCTGACATGAGCATCTGAGCAGAGCTAAAACGTGTATTACAAAATTACAGTGCAGGTAAAATGAGTAGTGAGTGCTCACTGCCATTCTCACCTTGTCAACCCAGGAAAAAACCCACACATAAATACATTCAGATTTGATGAATTATTCAAGTATTAAATCAAGAAAAAAAAAATAGTACTACATTTGCATTACCTTCCTTGTTCTAAAATACATGCACGCAGTTACCGTATATAGCGCCACATTGTACTTACACTTCTCTCTTGTACTTCAAATAACTGTTGCCTCTCTATTACCAGGTTCTGATGAAATATTGGCAATAGTTATTGCTGAACAAATTGGGAAACCTTGTATATATTTACCTGCATCTTGGATGCTGTCCACAGAAATACGGTATGATGTAAAATAACCTGGGATTGGAACATTCAGGGTAGTTTTCAAGGATACATACATTAATGTCCTGTGGGGGAGGAAAGGAAAAAAAAAAAAAAGAGGTTGAATACTGCATTTCCCTTTGTCTATTCAAGTGTTTTCTTTATCTCATATTTTATACAGTCATCTCAGAGTCAAAGAATTGTGCTGAGGCTGTACCAAATACCTTAAAAGTCATCTACCGGTCAATTTACCTACTTCTAAATATCATTACAAAGTTTCAGGAGGGGGGGGAAAAAAAAAAGTGTTTTTGTGCAGAATGCAAAAAAGACCTTTTTTTTTTCCTTGTTGCAAATAACACAATTATTATATTGAGATTACTGCATTACTCAAAGCAGAACACATGGATCAACTTTCATTTTGAGCTATATTTAAAATATTCAGGAGATTATTTTCAGTCTCTCCTTTCTTCTAAATACACCCTGGGGGAAACCTAAAGTAGCCAGAATAAATCAAACTGAGACAACAATTATTTTCCTTTTTTTAAATTTTTTTTATTCTGCTTCATTCAATGACTAGAATGAACAGAAGTAAGCTATAATTTGCACATCTTACTCTTGATATAAAAACATACATCACTTTTGATTACAGTTCTGTACATTCCTCAGATGTTCAAAACTGAGCCTATTGTGTAAACCCCCACTGAGAAAAGGGCTTATTAGGAAGTATTTATCATTTTCCTGATTTATCGTTCATCTAATTAGGAGCTATTTATCATTTTTCAAAAACTAGGCATAGCTCCTGAACCCTGAGAAAGTGTATTCCATTTCTAGCTTTACTCTAGCACAGTAATAAACATACCTGCAAGTGGGATTGAATTCCACTATCCTTATCTAGTCAAACAGACCCACTGTTGGGGGTCTGTTTGCTTGGGGGCAAGCAGATCCACTGACTCCAGAGAGACGTATGGGGGAAAAAAAAGAAAGTGCAAGACAACATAAGCAAAGATGAAAGGATCTCATCTTCGCAAAACCAATCTTCATTCTTATTTAAAGGCCCGTGCTTTTATAATACAATAGGCTTGATACACATCAATATCAAACCAACAACTAATCAAATCCATACTTCATCTAGTAAATAAAACACGATAGAGAACATTCCAGTGGGCAACACACCCTTCCTGGGCTGGGAAGTAAATCACATGGTGAGGAACTATCAAAGAAAACAACCTAAAAATTGCCAATTAGGCAGCCCATCTCCCCTGCTCCCCCCAGTGTATTCCAGCATACTGAGAAGGGCTTGCCTTAAATACAGAGAAGATTTATGGTCAAGACCTGAATTTTGACATTCAAGGCTCTCAGCAGAAGCTAACCAGCCCCCCACTCTTAATGCTATGAAAAAGCAATCTATGCTAATCTATGATAAAAAAATCTACTGGTGGCACAGGAAGGTGGCACAGGCAATGCGTCCCTCCTATCATCCCAATAGGGTTTTTTTTAACATGAATTAAATTTGCAGTTCTTTAAAGGTTTTTATTGTGCTTTTAAAATAGACACCACCAGAGAAGTTTTCAGGGATACATATTTTCGCTCTCCATAAGAACCTACAGAGACCTGCAACTAATTCATAAATTGCTTGGATTTTAAAAAATCTGATATTGTCCTGACAATACTTTAAATTATGTCCAAGCCAGCTTGCACTTGATTGATGGATTAATTGAAAGGCAGAAACACCTATGTAAGACTTAAAAATCATTAGTAACACCCAGTTGAGAACCATTCTTCTTTTCTCACTCCCATACAAAGGTGAACGGACATTACCTCACAACAAAGAAACTTATCGTTTCTTTGCAAGAATAATGAATACAGTGAGTCAGAAAATATTCCCTGGGATAAATAAGTATCAATACCCAACACAAAAGTGTAACAGGGACCTTCATGTCATTCTGAAAAAAATAGTTGATTAATACAGCTGGAGAAACATCCATACAATAAAAGCAACCTAAATTCACATGGAAAATCCTGCAGCTTTACCTAGTGAAGAACTTATAAGTAGTCAAAAAGAGATTTTTAGTACTCCCTTTCAGGGTAAACTGCTATAGGATCACTGAAACAACCAGGACAGCACTAATCTAAACTATCGAGTGGTAACTCCCTTTGAATTTGATTTGTGGAAGGAATGCAAAAGGATGAGAGAGAAAAATCTTCCCCCCCTGCCCCGTTGATGAACTTTAAGATAAAGGCCAGGTATAGTTTCATCTGAACCTACAATTTTTCGCCACACAACAGCACACATTTCACATTCCCAACATCAGAAGCACCAGGTTTTCTCTGCAGTAAAAGCGCTGCCCCTTTCCAGTCTCTGTTCACCACCACCACCACCGTGATCCGTGTTACAGCTGCCGGAGGGTCCTGATGCACTTCCAGCACCTGCTTGCTTTTCCTATTTTACTGTATTCATTATCTGTGAAATAAATGAGCAGCCGCCATCCATGCCCTCAGAGGAGATTTTACTTGGTGATAATTACACAGGTCCGTGAGATGTGAAATCACAGTTTTTAACCAAGAGGTGGGAAAAAAGACAGGTTGGCCCAAACTGTGTGCTAGTCATTACAAAACTCAAACGCACCTACAGGAAACTGCTCTTCTGTTGCTAGCAGGACTTACAGGAATTTCTGGTGGTTTTTTTTTTCTGAGCACGGAAAGCTAAAGTGAAATGACATTATTCTAGGTGCTGTTATTCTGCTATCCTAAGCAACATTAATGCCACATTTCCCAGTAAGTGTGTTTTCCCAGCAGGACATGGATCTTTCAGGGTAGAAAGATTTTTATGTGAGACTAAAAATTTCAAGTTAGAAATGAAAGATGACAGTCTTGCTCATTTAAATCACTGGAGAAGCCTTGTAAAAAAAAATAATTATTCCAACACAACCAGGAGAGATACAGAAAGAAAACACACAGAGATACTTTGATCATATCCCTCCACAATAAAGGAAGAGGAATTTTATTGTATTCCTCAGCTCCTGGCTATAATCCACACTGCTTACGTCCCGCTGGGCTTCTGTCTCCAGCAGGGCAGAGGGATGCCCGGGAACCAGCCCTGGGGCTGCAAGTAACAACAGAAACTATCTTTCTTTTTAATAGCACTATATTTTTCTATTGTTGTTACAATTTTGGCTGAAATGGTAAATTGGTAATGTCTACTTCCTTCTTCTGAGAAATTGTCTTTCGTACAAAAATCACAACATGCCCTGATCTATTAATCTGTCAACGAGCCAGACTACTGAACTATCAGAAATAGATAAAAGGTGTATTATTAATATATTTTTTTAAAGTTAATAACAAACAAACAGTTTTATTTGCCATAGCAAGTTCACACATGTCATAAGAGGAAGTCAGCACATAATTAAAAATATTTCATGGATATGAAATTCCTTAGGGAATTTTAATGCTATCACAAAAAAGGGGCAAATTTCAAAATATTTTTTGTAGAACAATAAACAATTTACTTAAGTTAATGTCCTTAACTCATGGCAAAAACTGTACCATATACAAAAGGATGTGACCTTTATTTGAGAGTTTGATTTTTTTTTTCTCCTAATGTAAAATCCTAAGAGTACTGAGGGAAATAATTTTTTTTGTCCAGTAGAAGAACCATCTAAGTTTTTTTCAAAAAAGAAATAATTCTTGAGCTTCAAAGCATTCCCTATTTCTTGATCCTCAGTGTCTCAATCAAAAAACTACAGAAACACCAGACTGTGCCATGGATGTACGACAATTCTTAGTACCCCATACAATCAATCGTAACTCAAATAGATACATGCCTTGCAAAGATTTTTCCGTTAATCTATGGGAAGCCATAAAAACAGCCTTTCTGTCACAATCAAAATGAAAAATATGACATGTCATCTTTCCATGCCCTACTCGCGTGGGATACTGCAACTTCTGTGGAACCAGGAGACCCCCGCTTACAGCCCAGCCACGGTGCATGCTCCTTACTTAAGCCTCAAGTTGAGGTGTGTCCTGAAGGCTACAGAGGAAGCAGCAACCTAAATAAATACCTTTCAAGTTTCCATAAAAGGAAATGAAGTAAAACGATGTGGAAAACCAGTGAGTGAGCCCAGTCTATGGTGACCTGTCCTGCTTACAAGGCTGTTCTTCATACGCTGCTACAGTCAGCGGTGCAGTCTAGTCCCCACCGTTGCCAGCCAAGGAAAATTCTTCTGCTCTGCTGAGAGCCCCCAAGAATCCTCTTGTGGCTTGTAAAATGTTTTCTCACATACTTGCTCAGTGTTTGTAAAGGGGTCAAACTGACCGTTACATCCTGAGGACAATGTTACATCATATAAACTAAATACAACCACGCTGAAAAAAAAAATAAAAAAATAAATCCACTGCTTTCTCTGATCCCAGCTAGGGAGCTCTGGGTGGCCGTAGAGTGATGGGGAAGAAAATGTAAACATGAAAGCTCAGAGAAGGGCTCATGAGTGTAAATATGAAATAAGGAAAAGCACAACTTCCTACAGAGAGACATTGAAAAGTCAAGGTACTTGACTTCAAGGCATGAAAGTTTTCAAATATAAGTAACGTGACTTACTAAATCTTATTTAGGAGCACAAATTTACATATTTTTACGGAAAACAAACTATAATGCAACACATTTCTAACCCTAATTAGAGAGGTTTTTACTTCATCAGGTGATAGTTAATGTTTCTATTCAACCTCAATCAAGTATTTGGATAACGAGAGTCACACAGCAGCAAGACAATCCATTTCTTTCAAATTCTGGAGTCACTTGGTACTTGTCCATGCAGCTATGCACTGGCAGCACACTGTTGTGCATCACTTCCCAACCAGCATTGCCAATGCAGCGAAAGCCAAGTGTTTTCCAGCCCATGCTATTGCAGTACTGAGCCCCTCCAAGGAGGGCTGGATTGTGCCAGACTGGGATGATGGCCCTCTGGAGATGACAGCAAGCTGGACAAGCCTACTGGAACACCAGTGGCAGGCTGCAGAGCGAGCAGTGGGCACTTCAAGGAGAAGCTCCATGATATGGCAGAGCTGATCTAGCAAACTAAAACGTGGGTTT